TTTTCTTAATTTCCTGCCACCTATTGTCTCTCTGATAACTGCTGACAGAGGGAAGGGTGCTATTTAATTGCTTTAAAGATATCAAACAAGCCAGTTGGAAGGTTATCTCCTCTGCAACCCCTCTGTTTTTCTGGCTCAAGGTTTTGTTACTTAGTTACTAACCAAGCTGCAGAGGAAGAAGAGGCAGCCCAGTGTGGATTACAGCTCAGACTTCATTCAGCAGATGGAGGGCAGAGTCAAAAAAGCGTGGGGGAGCCAAAGGCAGAATAGGAACTTGAGGTTGGCCCCTGAGTGCAGGTGGCAGCCCAAACAGCTCCTTGGAGGCCTTCAGAGGTGGGGAGAGAAGAGAGAGGCATACATTTTCTGGGAAAAATCAACAATCATCCGAGATGACACATTTCTGCTGTCAAGGTCAATGTTGTTCAGAGTCCACTCAGTCAGCTGCAGTAAGACAGGTGCGCCTAATGTGGGTGCATCAGTGCTTTCTCCAGGCTGGGCCTGCCCTATCTGATAAGGAGGGGAAGGCTTGACAAGGAAAGTACATGGAGGCGGATATTGCTTTATTTGGTCATCCACATTAAAGAGCATACAGGGCTACATGTGGTGGCTCACACCTGTAATCCCAGCACTTTGGGATTATTCAGCCTATTCAGGAGGCCGAGGTGGGTGATTACCTGAAGTCAGGAGTTCAAGACCAGCCTGGCCAACATGGTGAAACCCCGTCTTTACTAAAATTACAAAAATTAGCCAGGCATGGTGGCACCTGCCTGGAGTCCCAGCTACTCGGGAGGCTGAGGCAGCAGAATCACTTGAGCTTGGGAGGCAGAGATTGCTGTGAGCCGACATCACACCACTGCACTCCAGCTTGGACAACAGAGTGAGACTCTGTCTCAAAAATATAAAAATTAGGCCTGGCGTGGTGGCTCACACCTGTAATCCCAGCACTTTGGGAGCCCGAGGTGGGTGAATCACTTGAGGTCAGGAGTTTGAGACCAGCCTGGGCAACATGGTGAAACCCAGTCTCTGCTAAAAATACAAAACTTAGCAGGGCATGGTGGTGCACACCTGTAATCCCAGCTACTCGGGACACTAAGGCACGAGAATCGCTTGATCCTAGGAGGTGGAGGCGCAGTGAGCTGAGATCACGCCACTGCACTCTAGACTGGGCAACAGAGTGAGAACCTGTCTCTAAATAAATAAATAAATAAGAGCATACAGAGAGCCACCAACAACTCACCCAAGTTGCCTAGAAGCGTGATGGTTATTTGGTTGAACCTCCAGAAGCAGTCTGTTTTTGCTAGCAGTACTCATATTAAAATTAAAAACCAAAAAAAAAGTGCACTGCTTCATCAAAGTCGCCTTTGAGTTGGGGGCATGTTGAGAGCCAGTGTTTCATTTCTTGCATGGGTAAGAAAACAGTGTTTTTTCATTTTGTTTTGTTTTGTTGAGACAGGGTTTCACTCTGTCACCCAGGTTGGAGTGAGTGGCCTGATCACGGCTTGCTGCAGCCTCCACCTCTCTGGGCTCAAGTGATCCTCCTACCTCAGCCTCCTGAATAGCTGGGACTACAGGCACACACCACCATGACCAGTTAATTTTTTAATTTTTTGTTTTTGTAGAGACTGGGTTTTGCCATGCTGCCCAGGCCTGTCTCATACTCCTACAAAAATTAGCCAGGCATGGTGCCCACCTTGGCCTCCCAAAGTGCTGGGATTACAGCCAGTTATTATTATTGTTTTTTTAGACCTTCCATTTTAATGAAATATTCAGAATAAAATTTGAATAAAGTAAGTAATAAACAAATTTACAATTAACAGTTAAATATTTAGGAACATTTAATGTACTAAGTTGTGCAAACAGTACAAATACTTAAGAGTGTTGATTGGGGTAAGGCAATGTCAACTGCCAATAAATGTAAAAGATGAAAGAACAGGGCTAGGCGCAGCGGCTCACACCTGTAATCCCAGCACTTTGGGAGGCTGAGGCGGGCGGATCACCTGAGGTCAGGAGTTTGAGACCAGCCTGGCCAGCATGGCAAAACTCTGTTTCTACTAAAAATATAAAAAATTAACCAGGCGTGATGGTGGGCACCTTTAATCCCAGCTACTTGGGAAGCTGAGGCAGGAGAATCGCTTGAACCCGGGAGGCGGAGGCTGCAGTGGGCCGAGATCACGCCTCTACACTCCAGCCTGGGCAACAAGAGCAAAACTCCATCTCAAAAAAAAAAAAGAGGTCTGGCATAGTGGCTCACGCCTGTAATCCCAGCACTTTGGGAGGCAGAGGCAGGCAAATCATGAGGTCAGGAGATCGAGGCCATCCTGGCTAACACGGTGAAATCCCATCTCTACTAAAACTACAAAAAATTAGCCA